TGGTGTAAAACTTACGCGATAATCTAATTATATATTATAATTGTAATTAACTGATAAATATAACTAATGGATCTATACCTTCGGATACTTCTCTACAATCAAGTTCAACTTTTGATGGTCCATCAACTGTAACAGCTAATGTGCCAGGACCAGCATTTTGTGTATCAATTAATAATTCACATAGTTCACCTTAAATCATGGAAATACAAGTAAAGTAAGTTATTTTTAAATTCATACCTATTTTCCCTTGATATTAATCAGAACCTGAAGCAAAAACTCGACTTGAACCAGCTTTAACTGAATCACCAACATTAATGGTAAATGGACTACCTAAAAATATTTTATTTAATAACGAAAATATTTTCGCATGTTTTAATTTACTAACCAGGTACATGTTTATCAGCAAATTTGACATTAACAATATAAATACCAGGTTTAGTTGCTCTATATGTAACAAGACATGAGGCATCTTCATTATCATGACATTCAATATCAGCTTTTGATGGTTCTACAATTGTTAACGATAAACCACCATAACCTAATGAAATAGAAAAACTCAAAACCTAAACTTTTATAGATTTAATATCAACTAACCAGCATCACGTGTAACAACAATAGAATCATTAGTTTGATGAATATAACCTAAATCAATAAATTTCATATAAAATAAAATTCTAAGTGTTTGTATTTTTGTTCATTTTCATTACCTTCTTTTAAACATCGCCCAACTACTTTAACTTTGGGTGGGGTGTGGGTGCGTGTGAGTGTGGCGTCTGGCTGTGGCTGTGGGTGTGTGATTGTAGCTGAAGACAAGACCAACACGTACATTCACACCCAAAATAAACATAAATATTCTTTTTCTATCATTTATATTTAAAATAAATATTGATAATATATACTAATTTTAAGTAGAAATTGTTTTCAATTAATTTATAATTTATTAAATAATAACTGAAATTAAACTATTCTATTGCTTGTTGATATTGAATAGCAGTCAGATACATAAGCGATAAAAGACGTAAACAAGTGTTGAAACTTTAACGAACATAGACTCGCAAAAAATGTATACGTTAACATGCTTTTATTCATTTGATTTTTGACTGGACA